GGCTATTTTTTGGTTGCAGCCGTCATTGTTGTTTGGCGGGTCCAGGCTGGGGATTCGAACCCGCCACCTTAGGTGTATGTGGCTGGCGCCTTAGCCCGTTGAGCTATAGGCGCTGAGCCAAGAAATTACTTTCTTTGGCTGGGCATGGTTGCTGTCGCCTGTAATCCTAGCACTCTGGGAGGCCAAGATGAGAGGATTCCTTGAACTAAAGAGTTCGAGACCAGCCTGAGCAAGAGCGAGACTCCATCTCCACTAAAAAATAGAAATATTAGCAGAGTGGTGGAAGCCTATAGTCCCAGTTATTCAGGAAGATGCGACAGGATCTCTTGAACCCAGGAGTTTGAGGTTGCTGTGAACTAGGTTGAGGCTATGGCATTCTAACCTGGGCAACTGAATGAGACTCTGTGAAAGAAAGAAAGAAAGAAAGAAAGAAAGAAAGAAAGAAAGAAAGAAAGAAAGAAGGAAAGAAGGAAAGACAGGAAGGAAGGAAGGAAGGAAGGAAGGAAGGAAGGAAGGAAGGAAGGAGAGAGAAAGGAGGGAGGGAGGAAGAAAGGAAGGAGAGAAAAAGAGAGAGAGAGACTTTCTTTGCTCATTCACAGCAAACAGCGCCTCATCCATTAAAGTTATATCATGAGGTGGCACCAGTTCAGTCACTTCTTCAGACTCCACTTCTAACTCCAGTTCTCTTTCTATTTCTACTTCTTCAGCAGTTATTTCTTCATTGGTCTTCAACTCCTCAAAGTCATACATGAGGGTTGGAATCAACTTTTTCCCAACTCTTGTTAATGTTGACGTTTTGACTTTCTCCCATGAATCACCAATGTTCTTAATGGAATCTAGAATGATACATTCCTTCCAAAAGGTTTTTAACCTTTCAAAGGTTTTCAGATCTATCATAGTAATCACTATCTATGCAGCACGGTTGCCACAGACCTTCAATTTGTAAAAAAATGCAATATTTGTGGATTTGGTTTTTTTTTTGTAGAGACAGAGTCTCACTTTTTCACCCTCAGTAGAGTGTAGTAGATTCACAGCTCACAGCAACCTCCAACTCCTGCGCTTAGGCAATTCTTCTGCTCAGCCTTCCAAGTAGCCCGCCACAACACCCGGCTATTTTTTGTTGCAGTTTGGCCAGGGCTGGGTTTGAACCCGCCACCCTCGGTATATGGGGCCAGCGCCCGACTCACTGAGCCATAGGTGCCTCCCCCAAAATGCAATATTTGTGAAGCACAATAAGGCAAAAAGCAATAAAATGAGAGATGCCAAGGTCAGGTGCAGTGGCTCACGCCTATAATCCTAGCACTCTGGGAGGCAGAGGTGGGTGGATTGCCTAAGATCAGGAGTTCAAGTCCAGCCCGAGTCAGAGCGAGACCCCATCTCTAAAAAATAGCTGGGTGTTGTGGCAGGTGCCTACTCCCAGCTACTCAGGAGGCTGAGGCAGGAGGATCACTTGAGCCAAAGAGTTTGAAGTTGCTATGAGCTATGACGCCAGGCAAAAGTGAGACTCTGAAAAAAAAAATAGAGAGAGAGATGACTGTATTAGGAAGTCAGGATAGAAGAGGAAAGAGAATGGGTCATGGAACTTGCGGGTGCCAAAGGCCAGCGCAGTAGCTCATGCCTGTAATCCTAGCACTCAGGGAATGCTGAGGCGGGCAGATCGCCTGAGCTCACCAATTGGAGATCAGCCTGAGCTAGAGTGAGATCCCATCTCTAAAAAAAAAAAACCCAGTTAGGCACTGTGGCGGGCACCTGTAGTCCCAGCTACTTGGGAGGCTGAGGCAAGAGAATAGCTCGAGCCCAGGAGTCTGAGGTTACTGTGAGCAATGACACCATAGCACTCTATCAGGGGCAACAAAGTGAGACTCTGTGTCAAAAAAAAAATAAAAGACTCTGACATCCATGGTCCTGCACTAGAAAATGGGGTGTCTGGAATGGAAGCAAAGAGAGATATTAAAGAGCAGGTTCATCCCCAACCCACTTGCCTCTCACAGCCCACATGCAGATCCTAAACCGAGCTCCTCTCCTGTCCACACCTCTGTCCTATCCATCTTTTCCCACAGCAGTCCCACCACCCTTCCCCAGCAGCCTACTCTCCTCTGCCCCTCCTGCTCCCTAATCCATCTGCTTCTTCCTCTCCAGGTGAGGAGCCTGGGGCCCCCAGTTTCTCCAGCTACCTCTACTTCCTCTTCTGCCCCACACTCATCTACAGGGACACTTACCCCAGGTGAGACCCTTGCACCTCTTTCCCAATGCCTAAGCCCCTCAGGACCTTGCCCTTCTGCTTTCCCTTCCCTGTGGGCCTTAGTCTCACCTTGGGCACTAACCACACTCCCAGGAAACATCCCATAATAGAGATGGGAAATAAACGGCAGCCTGTGATGACACTGGGGTGGCCAACTATCCTGGTTTACCCAAGACCATCCCAATTTTAGTACTGAAAATCCTACATATCCCAGGAAACTTTACATGGTTGGTCACCTGAATTGGCACCCAAGCTAAAAATCCATTTGTCATCTTTGTTATGGAAAGTCCAAAGCACCCCAGACCCCACCTCCCCAGATGGTCTTCCCAGACCTGAGGGATTGAGGGAGCTGCAGACAGAGGGCCCCAGAACCTGTGTCCGGCCTGAGCAGGGAACAGCATAAAAGGATGAGAAACATACTGTCTCCATTGCTGCTGCAGGACACCCAACATCAGGTGGAATTATGTGGCCAAGAACTTTGCCCAGGTCAGAAGATGGGGCAGAAGGGTGGATCACCTGTGACTTATGGTGGCTGAGGAGACATTGCTGGGAATGAGGTGGGGGAGGTCTGGGTAGGAGGTGCAGGCCTGGGGAGGAAGTGGTAGGGTGGTGCTAAGGGCGAAGGAGGTAGCTGCTGGGCCAGAGGTCCAATCCCACAGCAGCTGCCAGTGCCCTCTCCCAAAATGTGTGGCCCTGGGTGGCGCCTGTGGCTCAAAGGAGTAGGGCACCAGCCCCATATGCCAGAGGTGACGGGTTCAAACCCAGCCCTAGCCAAAAACTCCAAAATATGTGGCCCACTCCCTTCCCAGGCCCTGGGCTGTGTGCTCTATGCCTGCTTCATCCTGGGTCGCCTCTGTGTTCCTGTCTTTGCCAACATGAGCCGAGAACCCTTCAGCACCCGTGCCCTGGTGCTCTCCATCCTTCATGCTACGTTGCCAGGTAAGCCCACTAAGGCAGGCTAGGGAAGGCTTATGATCACCTTCCAGCAGCTTCGGCACCTTCCCCCCTGAAGCTCCCCAAGTATCTGCCACCCTCCTGTCAATGCTCACAGCTATGATCTTAGTTCAGATTATTAGACACTCCTCCTCCACAACAGCCTCCTCACCTATCTCCCTGGCACTCAGATCTTTCCCCTCCCATCTACTGACACTGCCACCCAGGTGAGCTTCCCTACAACCAATTAATCATGCCATACCCTGCTTTAAAATTGCCAGTGATTCCCTATTGCCCACACTTTTAGATAAGATTTAAACCTTTGGTCCCAGCCCTGAAAGTCATCTACTTCCATGCCTCCCAGGCTTTGCTCATACTGGCCCCTCAGCTTAGAATGCCTTTTCTCCATTTTCCAGCCATGGAATCTAGTTCCTACTTGGAGGCCCAAAGCTAAACTTCCCCCTCCTCTGAGAAGCCTTCCATTTTTAGCCATCAATTACCATAACCCATCCCTTGCCCTGCACTTCCAAGCACATTGATAGCCACCATGCCTATGTCTCATTACATTTGGCCTTGGTACTTGGTTGGACATGTCTCTCTGTCTCTGTATATATTTCTCTCTCTTCAACACTGTGAACTCCCAGTGGCTAGGGGTTCTGAGATTCATCTTTATGTTTCCAATGTCTGCCATGGAGTAGAAGCCGAGTAAATGTACATGAGAAATAGATGATTAATGAATGAATGAATTAGTGAATGATTGGTAAGAGTTGGGACCATGGTTCCTGAGCCTAGGCTCCTCAGAACCCAGATCAGGGCTCCCAGGGGACCCATCTGACCTGCAGCCCCTTGTCCTCACCCACCAGGCATCTTCATGCTGCTACTCATCTTCTTTGCCTTCCTCCATTGCTGGCTCAATGCCTTTGCAGAGATGTTACGATTTGGAGATCGGATGTTCTATCGGGTGAGACTTGGACCTGGGCCAGTTGGAAGCCAGAGGCAGGGAGGTTTAGGGAAGGATCTAGGTAATGGTAGCTTTGTTGGCTGTTACCTGGGCTGAGCTGTTGAGCTCCCACAATGGAAAATCTAGTCCTCTAGGTGTGGCTACAGCCAGGGCTGTTTTTGCATGCAGGGTACTATAGACTCTTCCCCTGAGAAGGGAAGTAGGAGGGAGAACAGGGACCTAGTCCTGAAGAGAGAGCTGAGAAAGGCTCTTTCTGCCCTTCTGGGACTGGGATAGGGTGCAGGGAAGAGTGGGGAGCAGCTTGAAGCCTGGGATACTCACCTTCCCCAACCCTGGCCCCACTTCTTTCCAGGACTGGTGGAACTCCACGTCTTTCTCCAACTATTACCGCACTTGGAACGTGGTGGTCCATGACTGGCTGTACAGCTATGTGTATCAGGATGGGCTGTGGGTATGTGCTCTGCACAGCCCCTGGGTTTCTCATCCTTTTATGCTGTTCCCCACTCAGGCTGGGAATAGGTTCTGGTCCCCTCTGTCTGCAGTTCCCTTAATCCCTCAGGCCTGGGAAGACCTTTTTTTTTTTTTTTTT